CCTGGATCCGCCTCTGTCCATGTTGTTCTGACGCGGTGATCTTTACCGTTTGCAGGGTAAACCAACCTTGGGCGTTACCATAGCAACATGGGTCAAAGCCAAAAACTTAACAGGCCCGAATGTAAACGAGATCTTCGTGACGGCGGCGCCGGGTGTCGCAGGCCCCACTAAGCAAGGAGAGTACCACTTCGAAATCCTCGACAAAGGCAGGGTGCGGTTCTTTCAGCGAAATAACGGCAAGACGGTGTACGGGCGCACAACGAAAGAGACAATTCCACTGAATACCTGGGTACATCTGGCAGGCATTTACAATCCAAACGGCAAACAGGCCTTGATTTACATAAATGGCCACCCGGTTTTAGATTATGAGCAGACAGAACCACAGGAGACTGATTCCCTCAGCACAGACTGGAGTAAAGGTGCCTATATTGGCTCATTCACGGATGACCTTGGAACTTCGCGCCAGTTCAAGGGGGCCTTGGACGAGTTTTACATGTTCCCATGCGCCCTCACGGGTCAACAGATTGTGAAGCTTAGAGACACTCATAAAATGCGTAAGTTTATGGTTGACTGTTGTGTTAAGGCCCAGAGGCTGGTAGACTCAATTTCCTTCTCTTTTTCGCGTCCGGTATTGTTTCTCCACGAAGTCTTTTCGGGGAGGAACGCGGCCTCCTTTCCCCAACGGGGACTGGTAATCGAGCCTTAGAGGCTAGTAGTCTACTAAAATGTAAGGTGTTAATGAGATTAACTGTCTGATATTTTGCGAATACGTATACGAAAAGATTCGCTTTTTTAGCGGTATTAGGTTTATATAAGTCAATTTTCAACATTTTCTGATAAGAATGACAATTTTTTTTCGTATATGAGTAATTATTAATAACATTATAGTTTAACTCCAAGTGGGGACTTCAGAGGTGGTCGTAGTCTGTAAAAACGGAGTGGTCGTGTTAACGACGTTGTAAAATAAGGAAGTGATTCGGGAAAGAGTTTCGTGCCAGAGTGAAGCTCGTACTACATTCACGTTACAAAAATCGACCGGCTCTGTTTAAGGCGTCTCGCGCGCATGGTTTTTCGCGCCAGGACAGATACGCATGTGCCATTCGCAACAGACAACACGATTTGCGATTTTCAATCAGCAACGAAGTTCGTTTTCAGTGTACATGATACCAGAATTAGATTTCGTACTAGAACGAGAATTTCATTCGGGTTGAAAACCGTGACGAACACATTCCGGGATGAATCGTAGGGGAACGATTTTGTTTCGGTATCATGTAAACAATTACAGAGAAATATATATGGAGATGGAATGAACTCGTTCCAGAATGAAAGTCATTCCGCTATCATGCGATTAGCCCCTTAATTAGTTCAGACTCGAAAATAGTGGTAGTAAAAATAGAGTCGTACATCGAGGGGTTCGACTATACCAGTTCCAGACTGTACAAAAATTGTGTCCCTCTATCCCATTACAGCTAGGTATATAGGACCCTACCCTGGTGTACAGCGTGAGGTATGGCGTGGAGTCCAAGGAACCACAGTAACCGACCTAGTCCTTTCTCATGACTACCCTAACAAACCCACTGAAACGACCGTTGTTCGGGACTTTGACGCGCCTAAAAACGAGGGCGACGACTATGGTTCCCGGATGCGAGGGTACTTTGTGGCGCCTTATACGGGAACATACTCATTCTCTGTGTCTGGCAACGACCAAGCGGAGTTGTACTTCAGTGGCTCGTCGCGCGAGAAGGACAAGGATTTATTTGCGGTTGTACATGGAACTGGGCACAATGACTTTGCGGAGTAAGTATTGCATTCTTGAATATGCAAGCACTTACTAGTTTTCAAAGAAAATACAGTTTGACAAAATCGGATCCATTACAAAGATTTCGTTTTTGACCCGGTTTCTCGAAGGCCAGGTGTTGCTTAATTTTTTTTTTCTTGATAGATGGTTTTTGACTTTCATCGTTTGTTGTTATAAGAATGCGTTTGATAAATTTATAGAATTTTTCATGGCGAGGGGACATCGATAAACTACCAGGTCTATATTTGTCCGTTCCCGGGAATTGAACCCGCTCTGGAGTTAAGGGCTCTACCAACTGAACCAGTCCTCCGCCATTTCGGCAAACACACTGAGAAGTTAACAACAAATCTAGCTTCTTTGTGGGAAAATACGAAGCATTTCAAGGATAATAGCCTTTAACTGCACTTAGAGCTTCTCTGATCTTCATTGTGTTTCTTCTAGCATGCCGTACCAACATTCAGGGTACATTCCTTTGGAAGCTGGGAAGTATTACTGGATTGAGGCCCTGCATAAGGAAGGCCAAAGGAGGGATTCCCTCTCAGTGGGCTACACCCTGGAATGTCCCAATACGTCACCAGTGCTTTCGGAGACTCCCATACTGAAACCAAGTCTTCAGTATAAGATACCAAGTAAGTTAAACTTAGCATAGTTGCAAAACGTCGGTGTGCTAACATCAGACCTGACTAAATTGTTTTCCAGTAGAATTATAATAGATTTTAAAGGTTCATACCATGGGACTATTCTACATTTATGTCTAAAAAGTTGACCCAAATCGCTAAGGTATTATGAGAAGGGGATGCCCATGCCACTAGGGTTTTTGGGAATGGGGATGCCCAAAACATAGGGATTACCATATCACTGTAACACCTCATCGGAAAAGCGAGGTGGGGTTCACTCTGTGCAAAGAACTTTCAAAAATTCGTCACACAGCTCCTTTCAATACACTCATTCTTTCATATATCCTTCGTTTTACGACTAAACATAACCCCATTGAGACCTTCTTTATAGTTAGGTAACCGAGCGTTTTATCTTATCTAGGGAGCTGTGCCGAGGTCAAGAAAATGTGGCCAGGCTTCAAAGACGACGAGTTCGTCATTCAAATGAGTAGTTCTTGTAATCCAGTACGACTGTACTGTCACGGAATGAACACTGCCACTCCCCGTGAGTACATCACTCTGCCAGCAGGACCTGACAAAAACTTCGCCAGTTTTCACAGGGGTAGGCTGCTCAACTTTGAGACCTGCTCGGGCTCAATCAACCCTGAACCAAAGCTGACCGCGAATTATTGGGGAACAACAAGGTATAGAAAGAAAACTGTAACTTTTTTGTCCCATACATTTGTCATGACCGTTTCATCTTTCTCGACACTTTTGTTATAAGCAGTCCTGGTTTTGTTGGTTTGTTTGTTTGTTTGTTTGTTTGTTTGTTTGTTTGATACTGTAGTTCGAATCAATTGTCAACCCAGACCATAGTTAATAGAGGAGACTGGTTATGAAAGGCGGAGAACATCAAAGATAGACACAACAGTGCTGCAGTTACACAAACCTTTTTGTTGTTGTTGTTGTTGCTCACAAATTGTAATGGAATATAATAATGCGACGCTTTTGTTGGTCAGTAAGATCAAAATGTTAGGAATGCTATTGAATCTTGTTCACCGTCAAGTCCACAAAAACAAATAACCAAGGAGTCTGACGGGTTTCATAACCATTCCACTCTATTAACTATGCCCAAACGGAATAAACAAGATGAAAGTTTGAATATCTTAAGGTATCATCCAGGGTAAAAAAGTCATCATTTTTCGAAATTTTCAATTTTTAGATGATTAAGTAGAGCTCATCAAGAGCTCCCTTTTAAAAAAAATTCCAGGAAAACATGTTTTTTCTGTGCAGACTTATGGAGCGCAAAAGTTTTTTCTATGCTAATTATCTTACTTGCTCGTTGACAAGTCCTGTCATACTTGATATGCATCGATAGTGTAACTCTTTTGCTGATCTTGACGCTCAAATTATTTTCAGGTTTAACAAACTCCGCATCGATCCTACATCGGGTCTTATACACAGAAATGATTACCAGTTCGCCAAGACCGAGGGTAACCCAGTCAGGTTTGGCCGCGCGGGAGACTGCTTCTCAGCGGCCTCCAAATGCCGCAAGGGTAAATTCCAAATTGATTTGTCAGGCACGGGAATGCGCATGCGTAGGGATGTAGAGTGGGAGGCCTGGGGTACGCCTAAGCTTCCAAAGCGGCTGCTTAATGTTCAAAAGACCGACGATGGGCTGTCTGTGGTTGGAGAGTGCGGTGGATCGTGTGGAGGTTGCCAGCATGCGCAAGAGAGAATGTACGTGGAACCAGCTAAATGCATCGACCGGCAAAGCACTGGTATGGCTTTTTCTAGTTTTTTTTTTTTACTACAGTTAATTGTTATTATCACATCCCATAAAGCAGTTACAGTGTTCTTGGTGACAAACTACTACAAGGCTTTCAAAGTGGGATTCGTAATAGACTGCGCTACTGAGCGTATTTTACGTGAACGGACGAAATGTAAAGTACCGTGTTTATATAGCCTTGACACACATACAATCAAACGGCCAAATGACCTGACTTGCTGCAGATTGTCTGGTTTAAAACACAGACTCGCGGAAAACCCAAAAAACCTTTAGAAATAACTCGCTGGAACCTTGTTCGACGGCGGTGCAGCTTTCGCGCGGTAGCATCTCTTACTTTAAGAGTCACAAAAGGAAAAAAAAGCAGCCAAAAAAAAAATATATATTCCGCCAGCTCCGCTCAAGACTGGGTCGGTGTTGTGTCGAACTGCCTTATGGGAATGTTTTTGGGGGAGGAATTTGGAACCAATTTCCCTTCGCAGCTGTCATAGCCAATAAAGTAAATAATAGCGTCCCAAAACAGTCCAGTACACGTTTGACTGTATTTTCTTTATCTCTTTCAGAAGCCGTAGCTCGCCACTCTATACCGAGGCATCATGCCTCAAAATCCAATGTAAACGGCGCGAAGAAATCCTTCGTTAAGGTCCCTGAAAAGGTGCACATTCGCTCCAAGATTCCTTATCCTCACAAGAAGACGTTCTTCAAAGCAGGCCCGGGCCTCGAAGATAGCGAGATGGAAGTCATTGGTCACGTGACAAAAAAGAGAAAGCGAAGCGAATCAAAAAAGAGGAAGAAGAGAAAGCGACATCTTAACGTGTAGACCTTTGGCCGATAGAGTTTAGATCTTTGTTTAAATTCGAGTTCAGTGTGAGGGACACGACTATTTGTAGCTGCCATACCTTTAGTCAGCTACGTTTACAGTTTAGTTTTACAATGTACAAAACGACAAAGTTTGTCGTTGTTGAAGCCGAGTAAATGATGTCGATAGGGGTTGATGCAAGCAGTAGTGGATCTTATTTACCTTTACTGTTTGCAGGAAATATTATTTTAAGAGAAGAAGCGAAATCACGGGGCTTTCCCTTTGTCGGATATTCAAGGCCCCGAATGCAGATGTTAATCTTAATTTTAGTAAATTAAAAGCCAATGAAATGATTATTTCTTCTCTAAATGGTAGACAGGCTGTTGTAAACAAACCTTGATTTGTGTTGTTTGCCAGCTCAGCCAGTAGCTCGGTCGATGTAAAACCTCGACAAGTCCAGTATCTTAGATAATATTATTGTTGTTAATAGTGTTATAGGTATTCAACGACAAATGTCAGTCTCAGGGAATTGGGGATTTAAGTAAAATTTGAGTACCACTATTCCGATTCGAATTCTCCAAACTGATTTCAATACATTTACTTAAAGAATTGGTTGAGAGAATTTGAGAAAAGATCAGACTTCTCCCTCAAGTGATCATTTCAAAAATTCTCATTACCTTTTCTTTTGATTGTGTGTTGATACTGTTGGGAGTAAACTGATGCTGGTCACTTTGGGATTCAAAGGGCAAAAAAGGTTCATTTTGGTGACCTTCACGCTCCCTGCTCGTATAGTGTCAGAAACCGAGTGCAGGAGAAGGATTTCACAAGAGAGTTTTTTCTATCCCCTCGCGTCCCATTTCAAGTAGCAAATAAAATGACGAATGAATCACAATACTGGGAAGTAAAGAGTAGCGTCTGAGGTAATTCTAGGAATTTTAAGTCGCTTTTTTGTGTCTCTTTTTGCCTCCATAATAAATGGATAGTCGTTTTGCTAACACAGGCTAGAAGTATGATTAAAACATCTTTGAAACTGTGCGAACCTCTTTTATTCTCGTAATCCTTTTTCTTGAAAATGGCGCATAATTCAGCTTCGCTTTGCAAGCTTGCGTACTCCTTTCACATTGTCTTGTGTGCGTGCTCTTGATGATTTCTATCATTGTTCAACTTTTTTGAAAGCTGTAAGACGCAATGCAATGTACTAATTACCTGGAAGATGTACTCAATTGAAATAAGGAGGTTATATCATATGGTAGCTTCCAACTATACAACTGTAATCAAGTGAACAAAGACAAATGGATCATAGAGTATTTTTGATGTGAAAATAAATTTTAAAACACTCGGTTTGTTGTGTACAAATTCTTATTACAATTGCTAAAATTAGGTCTTGCTTAATGTAATGCGCCATCCCCGACCCCAGAGCTCTTCTGCACATGATTACCAACACAAACAGTTGGGGAGGGGTTATGGGGAGGGGAGGGTTTGAGGGGTGGGTGCCGGGGGAACATAAACAGAGATTCTATGTCCTCTACATAATCGGTTGCGCACAGACAAAACCAGTCTCTGTTGTATTTCGCTCTTTCAGCGAACTCGTGAGACACAAATTCTCGTGTTACATTATTAGATTATCCCGCGGGCTTTCTCCCCGTTTTACGACAACAGCCTACACAATAATGCATCATAAATGAAGTCACAATGTTTTGTACGAGATATCTTTATTTTCGGAAACTGTTCTCAACCACCTACAAACCCACACAGACTATTTTGGTATTTCCCTGAACCGTTACCCAATCATGGCCACTCGTGAACACACGTGCAAACCGTAATTAGTTTCAGATTCCTTTTGTAGATAAATTATACACTTGTTTGGCGACTGTTACATCGCACGACTATAGCCGAAGTTAGGCCTTTAAGAGAAATATTTATATCTGGAAGAAAATCGTAGTCTCCCATGTAGGAGGGACGTTGCGTGACGAGACAACAACGGCTGCGAGGGAGACTGAGAATCGATGCATCATCGACACCTGTAAATTTTGAGCACTTTTGTTTTTAGTTAGCCTGCATAATAGGAGATATTTTTTTGCGTTTTTCAGGGGAGCGAAGGCAAGCGCAAAGCGAGCGAGGAGCGCGAGACAAGGGCGTTATTTTTTCTGCGCGCTTGCCCCATCGCACGTGTCTGGTTCTCCTCGAACGCTTCGCGCTTACCTTCGCTCGCCCGAAATAACGCAAAAAAAAAAAAAAAACCGCCTGTTAAGCAGGCTAGTGTTTAGTCGATGGATGATATTCAAATATTGGTATCAGCAAGAAAAGAAGAGGCTTGTTTGACAGCCCTCTGATTTTAAATTTCCACAAATTATCAAAATCAACAAAATGTTGCGTACATCGTTTGGTGTTCGCTGGCATTGCATTTGTCACAAGTTCATTAATTTAAAACAGGTATTTACGTTTCTAATTACCCTCTCAACCAATAGCATGCGCGCTCGTGGTATCATTGTTGATTAGCTAACTTCTGATTTGGCACCATAATAATACAAGACAGCGCGAAAATAATAGAAGGATAAATACCGATATGTATTAACAGTTCGAAGACGGCAATTACCATTAAGATAAAAATCTTATAGGAGAAAAGTGCCACGATATTTTGGTACATAACCAACCTGATAAGGAATAACTTATTCAGTTAATCTATTGCTTTCTTTACAAGAAAGATCTTCTAACTATGTCACTGACAGGATGAAATTTATCAAAGCTAGATCTGACAAACCAGATTCTCATTTTAGTGTAGCTAACAAAGACAAAAAAGACCCAGCACGTAGCATTCAAAATTCAACATCCCTGTGAACTGACATGCAACACTTCACATGGATACATAATTTACTATCTTATACAGTGTCACGAGCAGTTGGCTTTTACCAGCAAAACCAAACTAATAATGCTTTCTTACCACACGTATTCCTGTAACACGCCTGAGATACTATTCAAAAATCGAGGTCGCGGTGAATGGTAGGCTTTATGAGAGCGCAAAAAATAAACCCACTTAGTGGGTGGTTATAAGCTCTTTTTTGATGGGCATTTTGAACAACAAAACAAACCTCCAGTTATCTCACACATTTCAAATGCACCCAAAAAGCGGAACGCTCTAGTTATACGAGCACTCAGTTTTCCACACAAACCATGTAACCCCCAGTGCCTCAAAAAATATGCTGTTCCCCTCACAGTTAAATAGCGCGGTATGTTCCCTGAACATGGACAAACGAAGGCGGCGCTACACCCTACATTTCCAAGAGAGTGAAATTCACTTCTGCGTTAAAAACCAAGTGGTCACTAGGACCTCACGTTCACATCAATTGAACAACGTAATCTTTTTATCGATGGGATTTCTGCACATGGGGCAAACCTCCAGCGAAGATGCACATTCAACACACGTGCCATGTCCACACAAGAAAGCCACATTGCGCGGTTTTTCCAAACATATGGCGCACATGTTAGCATCCTCGATTTCCCTGACATGCGCCTGAAGGGATAGGAGTGAATGGAGCGTTTCCAGGTATTTTTCATCTTTTGCCGTCAACTCTGAAGGTTGGGCGGATGTTGCTTCTAAGAAAACGAAACAGGGAAGGTGTTTTTTGAGTACTTATTTTAGAAACCAAGTTGGTTTAATACCCAAGCTCTTGACCTAAAACCGGCACATTTTCGGTCCTTCCTTGTTAAACTTTCGACTGAGAAATCTTCGGAAGTCTTCGGGAATCTAGGAAATATACGGGTGCGGTTTGCAACTTTCGGAGAACGTTCAGAAAGCTCTTCAAGACTGCTTAAAGGCTCATTAAAATGACCTTTTGTGATAAAATAGTACGACTGATTTCGACTAATTAAGTTCCTTTCAAACGCGAGCTTTCGTCGACACATACGTACTTCAAAGAAAGGGGATAAAAAGTCTGTCAATAGTCCTTCCCATAACAGGTCGAAGTAAATTAAGAATCGTCACGGAGAAGTGTAATTTACCACTCTCCTTGATCTCTCGGCAGTACAGAAGTTTCCGTAGCGGAACGTTCGACTGTACATGAACCGACAGCCGTAGAATGCTCTGCTTTAAACTGGCCTTTTTATTTTAATTCATGATGCTATTTGTTTTGTTTTGTTTTGTTTCTTTCTTTAAGGTGAACCTCCCCTTAATTATTACAAACGCAGATTTAAATGAACAACTCACCACTGGATATTTTTTTTGTTATAGTTCCTTTGCACTTTAAACATTTTTTCATCCGCGCAGCGCAATCTAGGAGTAAAAGGTTCAGTTCAAACACCGGTTTAATACGTGGAATAAAGTACAGTGGTCGCTTTAAAAAGCAAAACTCTCTCCAACAACTAGAACTTACTACAGGCAAAGAGGAAAGGATGCTGCGAAACTACCCACCTACCTCTTCCTCAACTAAACATTTTGCCCTAAGTGAGGGGTTTGTGTTAACACTGGGTCAGGGGAGGGGTAGGTAGAAAATTCCCCAGAATCCTATATTGCTGTAATGTTACTATGGACATCATATTCATTGTGGTTTAAGATTTAACCTTGGTTTCAACTTCTGTATCCTTTCGTTTACGACTCACTGTCATACGTCAACATCACACAAAACAAAGGAAAATAACGATTAAATTAAAGACTAAAGACAAACTGAACAGAACTAAAACATAATCTTAAATACATCACGTCCGCAACGGAACCGAGCCGAGCCCTGGACATTGCTCTGTCTCTTTGAACCTTAGCAGTGATCAACAACGATCTTCTCCTTAAACATTGCCGCTTAATCAAAAATGGCCGGTAGTATGTCGTTCCCATGTCACTTAATGGTCAGAAACTACGTTAAGTTCTCGAGAAGCTGATCAAATGGACGGTGACACTGTTTACCGAGAATCATTTGACAATTCAGAAACGAGAAAACTGGGACGAGCTAACGCTGGCAAAG